AAACAGGTCTGTGTATACAACTATCTAGATTCCTCTGCTCTGCTGTCGTCCTGAGAAATGTCTGTAAGCATATAAACAATCTTTTTTAAAAAAATAGTATTTAGAAACAGTAATCTCTATGAAGAATTTCTATATAAAAACACAAATGTAAAAAATGTTAGGCACAAATGGTATGCATGTCTCACTGGAGTAGTCTATGGTGAGGTGGCTAGTTCCATTTTCCTGTTAATTGTCTTCTACCAGCTGCTTCTGTAAGCTGAGAAAAAGATGAAAAGTATTTGGTAAGTAGTTAGGCAGCATTCTAGCCTGGAGAGAGTCCACAATCATCTAAGTACAAAGCCAGAACCCAGATCTCCTGACATTCTAAGCATCACTAACAGGACACCCTCCAGTCGAGTATGCCCGAAGCATGACGTCCCGCACACTCACGTTCTGTCTCCTTGTCCTAAAGTGCACACTGCCTCAACTTTCTCTATGCATTAGGGTTATGGCTGCCTCTGGCTCTTCATAGACTGTGCCATTTCTCCTAAGCCTGCCTTGTTCACTCCTTCCATTTCTGACATACACCTCAAGAAAAAATCTTGGTTAAAGGCCACGTGGAGTTGAAAAATTTAGCAAAGGAGAATATTCCCTAATAGGGAAAATATCAGGCCTGAGCTTCTCCAATGCAAACAGATGTAGAATGGCACTCGTGCTTTATAAAAATCAGTCCAAGAGGGTCTCCCATGCTCAGCCTGGAGATTTCAAGATCTGTAAACTGCTAGAGACTTACCTCTCCAGATATTCCTTAACATTGTTATAACCATAAAACTTGGCCAGATGAATGAGGATTCCTGTGGCACAGCGGCCGTCACGCTTCCGACAGTAGCTGCAATTGCAGATCCCACGACAGGGAGGACACACCCAATCCTAACAGAGATGACAGCAGAAACTTCCCTCACTATCTGCAGGCTCTGGCCAGAGCTGAGATTTAGATCCAGATGGGCTCAACTGGCCTCTCCCCCAACTTTTAATCACATGGCATCTTTCAGTCTATGCCGCAGGGGGCTCCTCATGAGGCAGGAAGGCTCATCACCCCATGTCACATGAAAACACTGAAAAACAATGGGTTTCAAGGCCCCCTGCTTAAAACTTATGGAGAATTTCACCAGCATTTGGCCAAGCATAGGGCCCTGTGTGAGTGTGCAGGTCACAGCCCAGAATGTCAGCCATGGTTTAGGAGCACAAGGTTTCTAAAAGATCAAGGTGTGAATTTCAGCCCTTCTGTTGAATGACTAACCTGACCTGAGCAGCAGTTTACGTTTGTCTGTCAATTGAGGATGATATATTTACCCCATCACTGTTGCCTAAGAGGTCATACTTGGTAGCAGGACTGCCCCAGGCTCAAGGTTGTGCTTACTAACTGTGATACTATGTCTTATTTACTAAGGGAGCTGAGGCAGAGAGGGGTTATACACCTATTTCACGGGATTAAACATTTATGATAGAGTGAGCAACACCTTGCACAGTGCCGGGCACACAGAACACAGTCTATTCTGCAATTTACACCTGTCTCAGCCTGGCCCAGAAAAAAAAAATCAGAGGGAAATCACTTTGCTGAAGGAAGGGTACAGGGATTACTTGTACAAAGCTAGACAACTGTAACCAAGTTTTTTGTTCTGACAATGGAAAATATAACAAATTATATTCACTGGTCAGCTTGCTCTCCTTCCAGGAGTCCCTATTTTTCATTTTCCGTGGAGCCTTAAGGTACAGATGGAAGGCAAAAAACCCAAGTTCTGGAGCTCCCAGTTCCCAGTGAGAGTCCAGAAGCCCCATCTTTGGCTTGCTTCCTTCACCCATACAATTTAGGACAAATAAAAACACTGCACCTACCGGGTCCAGCAATGCTGATCTGACATCCTCCCCATAGCGGTTCCGCAGGCATGGTCCACAGAACTGTCCCCGCACACCACCGCAACCCTGGTTCCGACACACCGTCTTGGTGTCGATGGTCTTCTGTCGACACTGATGGCATGTGTTACCCTAGAGGGTGAAGGCAGTGAGCAGGTGAACTCAGGGATATGCTGATGCCCATTTCAGGCCAGATGCCATCATGTGCATTACCAAGTGCATAAAGAAATACCACCTGTCTCCTCGAATCAAGCAGGATTGTTTTCCTAATAAGAGCCATAGCACTGTCTCTAGACCAGGGGTCCCCAGTCCTCGGGCTAGTACCAGTCTGTGGCCTGTTCGGAACTGAGATGCACAGCAGGAAGTGAGCAGCGGGTGACTGAGCATTACTGCCTGAGCTCTGCCTCCCTGTCAGATCAGTGGCAGTGTTAGCTTGTCACAGGATCACAAACCCTATTGTGAATTGCAGACACACGGGATCTAGGTTGTGCTCCCTTTTAAGAATCTAATGCCTGATGATCTGAGGTGGAACAGTTTCATCCTGAAACCATCCCTTTCCTGTCCCCCCAAATCCATGGAAAAATGGTCTTTCACAAAACTGGTCTCTGGTGCCAAAAAGGTTGGGGACTACCGCTCTAGAATGTAAGCATCACAGGTTCGGGCCAAGGAGCACATGAGGTCAGATGAGGCTCAGCAGAGCACCGGAAGGAATGAAATGATCAGACTGTCAGGAAGAGAGACCAGGGGAAAGCTTAAGGCAGGGGTGGCCGAGCCCCTGACAGGTGACTAAGTGGCAATGAGCTTTGGATGGCATCACCTCGGCTCCACCCTAGCTCCACCCTAGCTCTGCAGACCTGGATATCTTCAATATGAAATCTATTTTTTTTTAAATATTGGCAACTAAATGTAAAGCATTTTAATACTATCTTAAGACAGTGTCGCACTACTTGTCTAGAAAACACATACAAAAGCAGAATACAAAGCCTCCCTCTAAATCACCATTTAGAAGAAATTTAACCGGTTTCCTACCAAAGATATTCTGCCAACCTTTATTTTCTACGGTTATGTTACCCCTAAATACGCTATCTTTTTTCAATATTTAAAACATAAAACTATACAATATTTAAACCATAACAGTTACATGTAAAAATCCCTTTGAAACTATACCTTTGTCTTCCCTCAGGTTCTATGCATCCATAAAAGAGCACACTGTCCCAAGGGGAATTACTGCACTAAGCTGCCCCCCTTTTCCCAGGTACAGCTGACCCTTGACCCTCTGATTCAGAGCCTGGCTCTGAGCCCTTGGTGAGATGGCATAAGCCCTAATCCAGTTTAAAAACACGTGAGATTTCAAATACCAATGCCTTAGACTCCCGATAAGAATGGCAATCATGCAAATTACTCATAATATAGAATTTACCAGAACTTTATCATAGATTTTATCTCGAACAGTTATGGCGACATTTTCTAAGTCCTCTTCGGTGATATCCTCCACTGGCCGAAAAGAAGATACACGGTGACGTCGTCTGTACTCCTGGCATTTCCCCTGCACAATGAACACAAGCAGAACCTAGAGTGAGCTGTTTCGAGCAGTTATAAAAAATTATAAACATTTTAAACTCTCAAAGATCTAGCACCATTCATGTTAACCCGGTCCCTCTTCTATTTCCTTGCAGCCATTTCATTTTAGTATTTACTGAGATTCTGCTACCTGCCAAGCTTCCTTCTCAGCAAGGCAATACAATCATAGAGGAGAAACTCAAGGTTTTTGGTTCTTTGCTGTGAACTCTGTGGAGAGATGAACCACACTGAACAGCCAAACCCACAAATGGGTCCAAAGTTTTTCCCTCCAAACTGAAAGTGCTTGAAATGTCTAAGGCCTAAAATAGAAAAGTTAAGAGGAATCACTATACTTTTCCACAAAGTGGAAACCGCAAAGCTGACTGGAGCTGTGGACAGGCCTTTACTGCCTACAGCAGGGATCAAAGCAGCATCCTAATAAATGAGCTGCTTTTCAGCTCAGCTTGGATAAAGGCTCTCTCTGTGACCAGCTTAGACCAGCACTGCTTCTCCAAGTGTGCTCTCGGGAGCAACGGCATCACCTGGGAACCAGATAGAAATGCAAGTTCTCAGCTGCTGCAGACCCACGGGATCAAAACCAGCCCTGGGTGACAACAATGTGCATTCACGTTTGGAGCAACAGTAGCTCAGACAAAACTAATTCATATATTAGTCAGAAAATACCCCACTAATTGTCTTCCTTCTTCG